TAAGGTCTTTCTTGAATTTTTTGTCTCAGATAATCCAACTCGGAGATATCTCTGGTACCGCAAAACGCTGCATGCCGTGCAAGGTCTAAAGCGAGAGACGGTTGACAGAGTATTTTTCAATAAATTTTAAAATATACAATTGTAAATAATAGTTAAAAAATGTATATTTATTTATTAAAAACCCGATTTTTATAGCTTATATATCTTTCCCAAAAATAATCATGAAAAAGACATACATATTACAGCCGAAAGAGTCCTATGCCCCCTTAATGCGCTTTCTATTTCTCTTTTAGAACCCATCGGTCGTTGACCTGAACATCATGTTTACGACTCTTTCATTTGACACAGTTATCATAGTCAGGAGATTTTAAGTCGATCGACGGCTTTTATTAAATCGAACAAGAATAAAAAGGTATGTCACGTGTACGCGGCACGCTTTTAACCGACTTCCACTTTCACGCACGAGTACGTAAGTAAATCATTGACGTTTGCAGTAATATTTAATTGATTTCCCTTTCGCGCGTTATGTCGTGCACGAATTCGTTCGTAACTAAATATGACAAATCGGTTCGTTAATCAAGCATTTTTATTTTTCCTGCAACGTCTCTTTCTTGCCGTGAGTCCTTTCTACTCTTGTAATTACATTATTACATTAATAACGACACGAGGCAATCACTGCTAACCGATATGTAATACTTTGAGAAGATAATATCTTCAATTAGCGCTACTTCGGAAATAACAGTGCTAAAGATTTCTTCAATTTTGCCAAGCGTTTCAAAGAAATGAAGCTTATTATAAGTTCACTCATAATTTTCTAGACGAGTTAAATGTATATTGTATATGTATATATAAAGAATGTATTAATAATCGCGTAAATTATAAGTTATCTTATACTTTGGAAACTTTGTGCGGAATTTAGGCATGGGCGACTTTTGTGTCGCGTGAAAGTCTTTAAGTCGTCTTTTAAATATGTACGCCTTTTAGACACGCGTGCTGTATGGGATGTAAATAAAATTTCGCTACACGTATAAACGTCGCCAACTTAACGGTTTAATCGGGACAGTTCTGTCAGTATTGAAATTAGTCGAAACTCTACAAAATTCAGTCTTAATATGCGGAATTAATCGTTACGTCGATATGCATATGTATTTGCAACAAATAGAAAAATAAACCAATCAAAAACATAAACGCCATAAAAATACAGTATATGGATTCACATAGTAATTTAATTGGCTACGTCCACCTGCGCCAGGTCCTAAATGGCGTTTATAATTGATTTAAATCTTAAAAAGGACCGAGTTAAAACTTGGAAAAATAAACGTAGAGTGCGACTGGTGACAAATGAACTTATTACAGTCACTATATTTATGCACATTACTCTTGAAATATCAGACGACCAATTTCATGCATATTTGCATTAGATAGAAAAAACTTGAAATGCAAGATGTAACAAATGAACTGACCAGAGTTACTGTATTTATGCATGTCTCTCTTGAAATATTAGACTACGATTATCATTGGGGAGAGACGCGAAGTCATGGTCATAATTACTTCGATACATCGAGATACGATTCTATAAGCTAATTGTAAGAAGCAATTGAAAGTAATTTCAACATTACTGATTTTCAGACGTTTATGCCGCAAAACAGAAACAAAAGTTGAATTTATTTAATTCACATTTGTTTAAAAATAAAATCCGGTCGAATTAATTTACTTAATTCATTTCGGAGCTGTTACAATGCTACATTTTAATTAAGAGCGATCTTTAGAAAAAGTCACTCTTTGGATTAATATTTTCCAGCTATAGAATTGTTTATAAGATTTGGTCGAGACTGTCAACGAGACGTGTGTCTCGGGTAACCAAGTATGAAACGTGACTTGCTGCCAAATGGCTAATCAGAAGAGGGCTTATAAACAACGGGCCACGTTCCTTTGTGTCAATAATTAGGTACATCTGTCGATTGCAATCTCTTCCGTGAAAAAAACGACATTGCGTGAATCAATCATTGAAGATATGCCGAATTGTATGCGTTGGCGTTCTGGGCCAAACAAAGATTGCTTTTGCGCGAATCAAGCACGTATTATCGCACTATCAATGCACTCGCTAAGCTTTCAATATCCAGATGTGAAATGTGTGGATAAAATATTTTTGCAGTCGCATTATCTTTTCGTACAAATGAATTCGTGTATAGATCCGGAAATTTTTTCCGACTGTCCATGGAAAATTGCACATAGATCAGTAATTATAAATGATTAATTGTAGCGTTACATATTCCATTAATTTCAATTAATTTCATTGTTTGAGTTATTGAGCAGCAAATTTCAATAATGTACATAGCTGAAGAAGGAGAAGATAAGCAGAGTTACAAAGTGACAGGACGTTAAATAGATCTTAATCATGCTTTGTAAAAGTTAATAATAAACAGCACGTACAAAGATTAATCGCACTGAATTAATCGCACGTAAAAATAAAATCACTTCTAATCATTTTCATGAATCACGACATGGAATTGCGCCATGATTAACGATACAACCCGTATAATTGTGATCTCTGAACATAAATTTTATCAATCTTGTCTATGTATCCCCCCCCCCCCTCCCACACACACACATACACATTATCATTGTAACGTCCTGTCGCACGAGGTCAATTAAGTCAGTGTAAACTCATTTTTCAAAGGTGCGTAATACAATGTAAATTACAAATTCAATCGTTATTAGTCAATCATTGTTGTTGCCAATAACAAAGATGAATAATAAAGATTGCGTTCATGGTTTCAATTAAAATTGTTTTTTACACGCTTCTCTGATCTTCTCCGATTCACTTTTTGTGGAACAGTTTTTTTTTGTGAATAGTACTTTTAATATTTCTTTAATTATTTAAACGATTATTTTTAAAATACTTTAAATCCAATTATTTCCTTTAATGTTCACCAACAAAGAAAAGTTGTAAGTCTACTTTCAAGTATCTTTTTCATTGCGTAATTCTAACATAAAAGATATAAAATGTATATGTCTTTTTGCGTTTGGATACGTAGAAAAAATCCTTTACCTTTTCGGTATATTTGAAGCGTGAAAGAATTCGATTATCTGTTCAATTATTTTCTGGTTCTTTCTTTGAAATAGAGCTATTATCCGCAACAAATTATATATTGTGGATTTGACCGGCGGTACACTTAACAAGTGCACTTTGTGATTTAAACAATTACGCTGGCATGTACATGGCCGTGTGAAAATTTTTACCATGAAATTTTCAATGTTGCAATCCGGGGGAAGTCATTACCTTACGCAAGGCTAAAACGGAGTGATTTGATCGACATTGCCTCAGTTGCAATTTTCGGTCCAGCTCTTGTCTTTTCTTCGTATTCCTGAATTGTATCTTTCAATATTAGGACCGGTTTGCTCGTTGTAATCACGCACATCTCGAGTTGCTCAATTTTAAACTGAGTTTCTGTATTGAAAAATCCGGGGGGGTTTTTTTTAAAAAGTTTTTAAGTTTAAAGGTTTTTTACTTAAAAGTCGAATATAATTTATTCGCGATGCAAGAATGTCTAAAAACTGGTACATATTTACGAGGATCTTTTGACCTATCTTCAAGATAACGGATAACTTAATGCATTTTCTTCCTTTGTAAATATATAACACATATATTATGCCCCTTAACAGATTTTTTGTGTATTCAATATTGAAATGCAAAAAGTAATTTGAAAACCTAGATCGTAAAATAAAATATAAATGACCAATTTAAAATCTTACGAATTAATTTCCACGGAATGTATCTTTTTTATTGTTGTTCATTTGATGGTTATCGCGAATGCGATTCAAAATCAATTATATTTATGTAAAAAATTAATTTGAAAATCTAGGTCGTAAATTAAAATAATCGTCCTATTCAAAATCTTATCAATTCATTTCCACGGAGCGTATCTTTTTTATTGCTAGTTATTTGATGGTTATCGCGAATGCGATTCAAAATCAATTACATTTATGTAAATCACAAACACATTAAGTGCTTAAATATAATTAATAGCGCATTAAATATCTTCAGATTTCAATAGGTCGGTAAGATTGCGTGCACTACGCTAATTTGTCTAAATCATACAGGAGAATCGGAAATAGACCGGAACATGTTGCGTGCTTCCCACGTACCTATACCTTTGAATGCTTTCGATAATACTTAGTTATGATAAGTTATCATGTATTTATTACTGTTTTTAGGTAATACCAGTCTCTTGTTTTATCTAACGAACTTTTTTTTATTTATTTCACTCCACGTAATTGTGAATTTAGGCTGTCACGAAGGTGCTAATCTAAAGCCATTTCGACCGTGGAGTCAGTTTCGAACGGTAAAAATAAATGTATGATAGCCAATTTCTTTAGAAATTTATCCAGAACATTTATATAGCTCTTCTTAAAATATCACACAAGAATAAGTGACTCTAAAGTGATTCTATCCTTATGGGAAATATTTCTAGTTAGAACTGACTGAAAGTAATTGAAAAATGTAGTCCACAAATAGTCCGTGCATTAATAATTTTGTATGTCCAATTTTGGAATATAGAATGAAAAATATTTCAAATAACGATCGATTAAGTCCGATCTATTAATTTCTTCGGAATATATCTACTGTAACTGTCCCTTAACTGTCGCCACGAGTGCAATGGTTGTTATAAAATTTATAATATTATACAAAATCACAATAAGCAACAAAGAGTTTATGATATGCCTTTCTTCGCGAATGCCCACATGTAACTAAGACGAATTTCGTATTTATGGAAAACAGCAACAGTGGTACATTGAACAGCTACGTTATAATTCAGAGTCAGGCTTGTTTTCGATAGTCTTTCCCCGTAGGCGCCACATTTAAGGATAGTTAGCTTCACATTTACATAGCGTAGCCTCGTATCTACTCGACGTTGCCGGATTATTGTTTCTGCGATCGGGGAATAAAATGGTGCCCACCGTTACTCGACCCTGAAACGAGACTTCCTCTTACTTACTTTTCGACCATTTCCGTCTGCCATCGTCGGAATGCACTGGTAGACTGGCATTGAAGAATTTATTCACCACCACAGAGGACTTTCTTTGAAGGTTCGTCAACGACCTCGTCTCCTCCTGCTCAACCAGTTTATTGCCATTGGGGTTGGTGTTCACCGACGTGTAGATCTGGCGGCGCGACAAGGTGTTCCAGATCACCATAAAATCCTTCATTTTCCCGGCAGTTCAGACTTCCGCTGTGCGAGTAACAAGGGGAGCGTACTTTATCTACTTGTCGTCGATTCAGTAGTAACGGTAGGCTACGGCCGACGATAAAGGCAGGTCTACACTTCTGGCGCACGGCTTGATGACAGCTTGCACGTCGGGGATTATAATGCCGTGTAACTCCCCGACGAGACACGCCCGCTGATTATAGGCGCGATTTCAACACTCTTGATTTTCGGTTTTCCGAACTTCAGTCCAAAGACCCCTCACTTTCTCCCGCGCGGCTCGACTTCGACGTCCGCTGGATGTCCTCCAATGCGTCCTCGCCAACGACCCTCCTCCGATCACTATTGATCCCGAAATCTTTCCCGGGGCCGGGAAATTCGCGATACGATTTCCAGTGGCAACGCGCAGAATAGGATTGTTGTTCTCGCTTTATTTCCGACGGATGACTCGAAGCCTACCACGAGGAGGTCTCGTGGCACTTGGCCGATCGCTCGAGATCCACTCCGGCTCGTTTGTCTATTTCTTCATCTGTCGTGCGATACCTCGATCCCCGTGACGGTGCGATACGCGCGGCATAAGTTTCGGTGCAAGAGTGGCGGTACGGATCGGTGGAGATTTGGAAAATATCGCACTCCCACTACACTATGACCACGCTTGTCGCTGGCCGCGGTGGTGGTGATCGACGAGCACGTGGAACACCATCCAATCGGGTCACGAGATTGCTGTCCCACCGCAGGGAGCTTGTGGTACCTGTTGCTAGCTTGCGAACCGTAGGTTCGCGCAACTTTGGGAGGAGGCATCTCAAGGTTGTTCGTGCAGCGGTCAACAGACCCTCACGTTTCAGAACAATACCGGCTGCCCTTAACGGCCGCGATCGCTTCTCGGAAGTTTCCAGGATGGACTTTGCATGTAGCGAGAGGGTCTAACATATTGCATTCGGACTCGTTTATGATAAGTTTATGATACGAGAGAATATATTAACCTTTGCACGAGGAAAACTATAACAAGGAGAGCGCCTTTAGTGCGCTATAAATTAAAAGATACAAGACGTATGAAGCAATTACAACCGCAACCTCAAATAAAACGGTGTTTGTGGTCGTAATCTTGAAAACGCTCGCGCTCTAGAGAAAGCACGACGATTAAGTATAATACAACTACTTTCCGAACTGAAGAGATTACAAAAGTAAATTGACGTGAACAGGCCGCGAATTTAATTTGAAATTTGATTTATCTTTCAATGCTACATTCGCTCGATTGCCTACAATATCACTTATAAACTTGCGTTGTCTTAAAATAATACGGTATCTCTGCGCAGGAAAAGTGTCACAAGTCGAAAACAACAATTTTACGGAACGATTTTCAACTTTCAGTCTGCTTACAGATTGCACGCGGCCGCATGGTTTACTAAATTGTTTTTACCCTTTTTTTTCCTTTGTAGCCTTGATAGATCTTTCTCCGTAATCGTACTTTTCATTTAAACATACCTTCTCTTCACCGTCATTATTTTTAAACGAGATACAATCGTCGCGTCGATCTCTCTTGACGAAACTTTTGTAACTATTTCTGACGCTTTCTTGGAGATAAAAGTACACACGTTTTCAAGTTGATCAATTAGAAAAATGCAAAAACTCATGCTTTTGATTCGAGTCACTTTCCTTGTACAAAGGCGATGCACCATCGTTCACCGTTATACATGTGGAACTACGTTTACATATTATTACACAACTAAACAACATTGTATGCCATTACGTGTGTTGCTTTGCTTTAGAACATAGAAAAACGAATGTTTATCAGTTGCAAGAGATCAATCAAATCCTACCTTTCGCATTAAAATATTTCAGTAACGTTTGTTTTCACTGGAATTTTATGTAATATGCATCGATAAGCGTCGCTGAAAGCCTTTCTTCTTCAGATCGTTCAACCTAGTTATACATAACGTATCTCTACCGACCAGAGTTTCGCGATCTACTAAAGGCAAGAAAATCAACGCTGCAATCTCTCGAGAAAGAGTCGTAACTGTTCGATAGTACTTATTACGCAATTGGGATCGATTACGTGCCATGAAGCGCAACGAGCGCCGAGCGAGTGCATTATTAAACGTCCGCAATTCCGCATAAGCTCGTTTGTTTTAGGATAAAAATAATCCCAATACAACTACGTAGGAAAATAAAAATGGTAATTGAGGTTCATCGAATGCCTCGCTACGATGATCGCTTGTTGTAAAGATCTTCAGGCCGGTATTCATAGTCGATTCTTATTTCAAAATCATCTCAAGTGTTGTCTTAAGAGGCTAATACGGCTCTTTGATTGGTTAAAAACACATTAAGAGTATACTTAAGATGATCTTAAATATAACACCGGCCTTATATATAGAGCCGAGATCGTTGCTGGTCAATTCGATTGTGAAAAACGCGTGCGGGATTCACGTCCTTGTCGATCCTGTTCCCGCAAGTTCATACGGTCCGACGTCATTGAACGCGTATGTTGGAAACGATGTGTCACGGTTTTTTTACGATCCGGTAGTGTCAGTCGTAGTGGTAAACCGGTATCGTTCACCCATGTCGAGGGGAACCCCCGACAGGTGACGCGTGATATGCCAGAGGAGGAAGAGGATTTTTCCACGTTATACTTGATTACTCATTTGCGCATAGGTATTTACCGTTTTATCAGACATTTATTCGGGAATTTTGCACTATATTTTCCTTTCATTAACACATTCCATTTAGCCATCGTTGCCTAAGAGCGTGATTAACTCGTCACGCTTTAAATATTTTACGTTAAACGTTTATTTAGTATTTTTTAGTATTATTTTAACATTATTAGTATTTATTTATAGCATTTTTTATTGCAATATGTGGAACATTCGAGTTCGACGGAAAGCCAATTTCCATGTTTTGTGCGGGGTCCTTTTTCTACGGTTCGTGACTAATCTTTTTTCTCGTTATTGTCTCTGAGCAACTGATAAATTCTGATACGACTTATACAATTACGAAAATAAGATGTGAAGTGAGAATGATAATAATTATTTTGATTCTAAAATATTAGTAGTTTTATATAAGTAAATGTAAACGTGTGATTGCTATTTTATGGTCAGTTTTCGAATGCACAATATTAAATTTTGCATTGCAATTTTTTCCTGCGAGTCGCAGATATCTCGACGTTTCTTCTCGTCTCGTATGTTTGAAATTCGAATAGGCAGATGTGCGATTTTTTGGCTGTTGCGAAACAAAAATTGAATTTTTGCTTATCTGATGCAGCGCTGTTTTAAATATAAACTTCCACATCCGCGAAAGGAACGAGTGTGTAAATGTGTTTGCAACTTCAGTGAACTTCACCGGTTCTCATAGTGAGCGGCCTTGTTTAACGCTCAAGGTTAAAAAATACACGTAATTTATTGCATGATACGCAAAGCATTTCCTCTTGTTTGTAGTCGCTTACTTTCTCATACCTTGAAAGAAAGACGGGATGCCAATTTATATAAATCGGCGTCTACTTGGACACTGTTAAAATATGAGAATTAAAGTTCGGTAACATATATGTATAATAAGATAATTAAATCTCAAAGTTGATTCAGTAAATTGTAATGGAGTTGCAAACTTAAATGACTGCAGAATTTTATCGTAGCATCATCCTTGTTGCTTTTAGTGAAGAACTAATTATAAGTTAAATATATCGAATAGCTTTTGTGTTCCGGATAAACGTCACACATAAAAGCTTTCGAACTGTAAATGATTAAATATTGCAGAACTTGAATTAGTACGCAGAAGTTTATTTTAACTGACAACTAACGACGAAATTCTGGCATTACTTAGCTAATAGTGAAACTAATTGCACCTTCACGTAACAGCGCAGACTATCGTGTCTTAATTAATTCTCATATTCGTCTCAGATGTCGCACTGATTCATATCTTCTCTCTTAGTGTGTAAACGTTTATTACACGTTGTCACGGACTGTGAGCACATTGCCGACTGTGCACATGTGTAATTTTGACTTTCGACGTTCCGTTAACCCCGTGTCGAAACGTTCGCAGTCAACGAAGCTTGAACGCGGCCATCGGCATTATCATGATAGCGGGTTTCCCGATTATCCGCCCGTTGTATTCCTGCGGCATCGCCGATATCGATTATAGCGACATAATCCGGCGTCACTGGGTTTGGCCCCGGGGTTATCCTGTTTCCACTCCCACATCGTAAAGAGGAACTGATATATCTCGGAGATTAAAAATAAAATCGTCGCCTCGTGCTTGAGGCAGTGCCCGCTAAAGTCAATGTACCGTAGCAATATTCGCACACTTTAAAGTAAGTTTCCTTTTTCTCGGAAGTATGTGTCTCGTGTGCAAATAATGAAATCCAAAGTGGGGAGTACCTAGCTGTTTTATATTATTTTATAAGTAGGTAATATATAATGCGCGAATATTATCTGACAAGGAAGAGCGGCGATAAAAACAAGGAAGAAATAATATGATAATACGTTTTAAAACGAAGATATTAGAGACGAAGATATATTGGCTTGTGGAATCTACGTTGTTATTGCAACTTAAATCTTTCTTTTCATCTGAAGAAATATTTTCTGCAAAAATTTTAGTAGTGAAAAAGTCATTTTTGTTAAATTTTTTTAATGTTTTGAAGAGAAAGGAGCTTGCATAAAATTTTCACAGAAACGCGTTATTTTCTATTTGACTTGCGATGAATGAATGAACGAATAAAGACGTCATTACATAAAAATCGAGATTGATGGTAATAATCAGTGCTAAGGTCACACTCGTAAATCGCTTATCTTAATTAAACGTCGGGCTTAATATTTGTTATATCATTTTGCACATCCGTCTTATTGCATTAACATTCTTTAATTAGGCATAAGACTCTTATAAAATTTTATACTGATAGTTCTGGTTCAGCGCTGTTATGATCGACGTATCGTTAATTGTTATAAAAATTCCAGGACTTTTAAATTCTTTTGACGCAAACAAGTGCGCACGTGCCTCTTGAATAAAATAGTCGTCAAGCAGAATGATATTTGCGTCTCGTTTCGTTTCAAGCTCATCGAGAAATTACGATCAATTTGTGATTTCTTAATAAGCGTAAAAATCAATCAACTTCCTCGAACATTTTTCAGAGCATCGTAACGAATCGTTGATAACGCCGGTTGGTGTTTATAATTTCTCCAGTATCTGTAGCTTGTATGAACTATCAATATTATCCTGTTTGTCATTTATTTATACAGCATCGTGGTTGTAAGTGATAACTGTTGCTACATACGGGTTGTCTATCATACGCACGTGTTAACAGAACACGTTTCCGTCCACGTTGACGCGCACGCGTTAATTCGCATTCACAACGTTGACAGGTGATCTTAAAAGGACGCGTAGACATTGCAAGATCACGCTATTTTCTTTTTACGTCACATTATTACGCATTAAGTTGCTTCAGATATTCATGCGTATTTATTACGCAGTCTGCGTTTGTCAAGACCAATTTTCTCTCGACACAATGGAACAAAAGATTGTCCGTATGACAACAGCGAATTGCCGGTGATGAAGCGATTTATATCGCAATAAATGTTTCAAAATTTGGCAAAAATTAAAATTAAATTTTATTAAAAAGGAATTAAGAATTTAATTAAATCCTTGATGCATTTCTCACGTAGCATTTTAACATAACTCTTTTAAATTCTAATATTTTTATAGATAGTTCTT